ACCATCGGAGAAGCAACCATCGGAGAAGCAACCATCGGAGAAGCAACAATCGGAGAAGCAACCATCGGAGAAACAACCATCGGAGAAGCAACCATCGGAGAAACAACCATCGGAGAAACAACCATCGGAGAAGCAACCATCGGAGAAACAACCATCGGAGAAGCAACAATCGGAGAAGCAGCCTTTGGAAAGCATCTTCACCCAGGTCCTTATCAGGGAAAACCCTCCAGAGAAATCCGACATGGAACACAGAAGGAACTCCATCCAGAGCAGCAAGTCCTCAAACCAGTGCTCCATGGAGTCGTTGCAACACATGGAAAATCACGAGGGAGGAAGTTATGATGACCTTTCGAAACAACCATTTAGGAAAACCCCCACCAAATGGACAGACAGAGAAAAGGAAATATACTTCGAAGTGTTTGAAAAAGAAGGGAAAAATTGGGACACCCTCCTATTAGCTTTGCTTCCTTATGGGAAAACCCGGGAGCAAATTAAGAACTTTTATCAGAACACGATTGTAAAGAGGAGAAAAAGTGAGGATCCCTAGGGGAAGGGGCAGGAAAGGGGCAGTGTGTTGGTAGCCTGTTGGCAGCGTGTTGGCAACGTATCGACAGTGCATTGTGAGTCTGTGCATCTCCACAGGAAGGATACCTGCGCTGAGCGTTTTTTTTTTTCTCATTTGAATGACCGTTTGCGGACCCCTCCCGTGTGACGCACACCAGCGTAAAACAGAAACAAAGCAAGCCAACCCCCGTGTATATTTACAACCGGTTAGAACTCCTCACATGGTAAACTGTGCGCAGTGAATCGCATCACCAAATGTGGGGCAAGCCACGGCAGCGGTGCTCGTGCGCTCCGCTCTGCACCCCCAGAAGTCGTTTCATTGATGCCATTTTTACCCTACTACATTTTGGCACACGTTAACTGTGGTGTGATTTGTTAATTTATCTATTTTTTTTTTTATTATTTTATTTTTTTCTTTTTCGTTCCCCCTTTTTCCACCCCACATATTATAAATCACCCTGTGTATGCCGTAGTGTGCAGAGAGCATACGAACACTACCCTCTGTGGGCCTCTGTGCGCTCTGGGGTCGGCCCATTTTCGCGCAGCCTGAACCCTAATTGAGCAACCCTACTGAATTGTCAACATTGATCATGTCTTAATTTGCGCCGAGAAGGTCGCGCACCGAGGGAGCCTTTAGCCGACCGGTGAGGCGGTTCAGAGTCCGTTTCGAGTCGCTTCCCCGAGCAAATGTAGCCAAAAGCGGCTAAAGGCGGAAAAAAAAAAAAAAAAGATGTCCCTTCATAGTTGACGCTTCTTCCCCGAGCAAGTACAGCGGGGTTATAGGGCCAATGAGGAATGGGGATAAAGTGGAGAAAAAAGGACCTGCCCCTACCCATGGCGGAAGGGCAACAGGGCGGAGCGCGGGCTAATCGTCCGACAGGAAGAGGGCGACTCCTGCCAAAATCCACTTGTCCTCGACGTCGTCCGTTTCTAGGCTGCGGTGTGTGGGGGGGAGAAATGGATTGGTGTGTGTGCAAAAGGGCGATCAGGTATGGGTGTTGATGCGCGTTCAGGCATGGCCGCGGATGTGCGTTCATCTGTGCCCTCCGTTGCACCCCTGCACGAGGGTTTCCCTCTTACTTCAAATCGACGGAGCAGACGAAGGTGGCGCCCCGGTCCGAGGTGATATAGAGGGGCGTCTCCAAGTAGCGGGCGTCGGATGCACGGGCGAGCTGCCCGTCCTGTTCATTGGTGACACAGTAAACATAGACGAGCGGCATGGAGAAGAAGATGTTCTTCGGCACGGACTCCACTATATTGCCATACGACACGTTATCACTTAAGTTTTCCATATCAAATGTGAAGGAGTCATTTTGAGAGTTAACAAACCAGGAGGCACCCTGGAGAAACAACCCATGGATGTACAAAGAATTGTTTTTATTGTTAAGATCTTCCACTTTGGTGATATTTGTGACGTGCCACTTGAGCTTTAGCTTATCTATAGGTACTTTATTCTCATGTGAGAACTTCTGTTTAATGGCGGTTAGGAAAGAAATGGGATTGAAGAGAGCAGACAACCATACAGAACTGGGCAAGAAAATATTGCACCTTATTTTTGCAATCCATTCTTGTAAAAAAATTACTCTCAATTTGAAATCTTCAAACCATGGAAGTAGTTTCTTTTTGGATGGATAGGAGAAGTTCTTCCATATTTCTGGGATGTTATGTAGCAGCAAAGCTTTGATGCTAAGTTGTATTTTACTATTCATATTTAGGATGCCATCGAGAACTAGCTTGATTTCGACCAAGCTGTCATGGATACAATCAATGAGTGTGTTAAACTTCTCGGCCTCCTTCAATGCGATGACCATAAATGTGTTCGTCTCTGTGTCTTCTATTTTCAAGTCGCTTATGTCGATTTTTTCTGGCAGTTCATTTAGAAGGCGATTAATAATATCGTATATAATTTTCGTTGTTTCATTTTTTCCACTCTCCGTTTCGCCGTCTCCTCCTTTGTTGCGGTCTTTCTTTCCTCGTTGGTCCGACTCCTTGTGGCGCTTTCCATCATCTTTGCTGTCACCACTGGGGAGACTTCCCTGTTTACTCCCAATGGGGTTACCTCCAACGGGGTTACTCCCAATGGTACTTCCACTGGGTTTACCTCCACCGGGGATACTACTCCCAACGCCGTCTCCCGCGGCGCCGGTCTTTTCCCCCTTTTCGTGAGAACCCTCCGAGGAGGAAATATCCCGACTGCTGATCTCTTGCAAGTTCTGCAGGATTCTGGAGCACTCATTTTTCATGTATTCAATTTCTGCGTTCACGTGCAGACCCAGCAAGCAGGTCTGTTCTTTTTTCAATTTTTCATCAACATATTTTTTTAATTGGGCAATGTTGTATTTGGTGCAGTCAGGAAATTTGAACACTTCGAAGAGGATGTTCGTCCTGGTGTCTTTGAGGACTGCCTTCTCATCCATTTCGTCCTCCTTGTCGTTTCCTCGGCAGGCCTCAGGCTTCTTTCCCTGTGGGACACCTCGCCCCGTTTCGTCGCTGTCTGGATGGTCCTCTCCATCTGCATCGTTTTCGTCGTCTCCGTTACCGACTTGGCGCACCTCTCCGATAACCGCGTGGCCATTAATACCAACCACATTTTTGTATATCTCCTTGAGCACATTTTTGACGTACGTCTTATTTATGCGTCTGTCCCATATATCCGTGATGTGCCCGCCGTAGATTATTTCCCCTATGAGGAAGAGAACGTCCGCAAGAGGGAAGCTGTTGTAACTCTCCAAATACCTCTTGATGATATTAAAAGAGATCTCCAGATCATTATCGTTGAAGGAATACGATTGACTGAATCCAATTTTTCCGTATAGAAACCTTCCCAATAGTAAGCTATGATAATAGGAGAGACCAAAAATGACATTTTTTAGCTTATCGTCGTAGTCCCTATTTTGGAATCTCTCCAAACAACATTTGATGTTATCCTTCAGGCTGAAAGACTTTTCATTGTTAATCCTGAAGCACTTTTTTAGTAGTTTCTCCGGTAACAGTTTGGTGTCTTTTTCGGAAGGGATGGCTGATGATAAGAATAGACGGAAATTCGGGTGCGAATCGGTTAATATTTTGTCCAGTATTTCTTCAAATTCTTTTAGCCATTTGGTCATGAGGTGGATGTTCTGCAGGAATATGAATCCGCCTGATTTGGATGTCTCCCTGAGGTACTTCAGCGCAATGCTCTCCTGCCCCTGCCCCATGGAGATATTCACGTAGGAGATGGTTTCTTCAGTGTGCTGTTCCCCATTTGTATGGTCACCTTTTTGCTCATTTTTTTTGGCAGTGTTCGCGCTGCTTTTCTTTCCCCTCTTCAGCTTCGCTACGTACTCCTCGATATCCTTAGAGGGGTCATTTCCCGGTGTCAACAGAAATAAAACGGGCGTCTTGTTGTCGATGTATTCCTCCAGTATTTTGCCCAGTGCGTAAGTATTCTTCTCATCATTCGTCATTTTGATGTTCCTCTGGATGTAATTTTTCAGCGCCACAGGGAATCTGTCCTTCCGCAATATCCTTATTAGTAGCAGCTTGGAGAAGTCCTTCAAATTGTTATACTTTCTTGGCAGTTCCTCATTCTCTACCTTGTCACTTAGGAACCACTGCTTCCACGACATACTCTCGCTTTCTAAGCTCTCTGTAAGATTATCAAACTGGTTCAAATTCTCTAAATTTTTACAATCTTCATATAGGTCTTCACTCATGAAGGACTTATTGATGAGCTTCTTTTCTCCTCTGTCATTTTCTCTTTGGCTTGCTTTTAGTGCACACTTGGGATTTATAAACATGTCTTCCTCCTCTTGGGTAATGTTTCCGTTTAGCTTCTCCAGGTTTAACATGATGAGGCACTTCACGATGAGCTTGTCTCTTTCTAGGAGCCCCTTATCTATGTACATCCACATTTTCTCGATTAGAAGACTGATCAGTACGTTCACTCTCTTCTGCACTTCGTTTTTGTCTATCTTTGTTTCTTCACTCTGTGTATCTTCTCCGTCCAGGTCGTCACTTTCGAATTCGATGCCATTCGACTCGCTTCCACCAGATTCGCTTCGACCAGACTCGATGCCACCAGACTCGACGCCACCAGACTGTTTGCTCTCTAGGCTGGTCATATCCAGGTGTTCCTTTTGGGGGCCCTCGTCTCCCTTCTGCGCGCTGGCCGGGGCCTCCACTTCAGCAGCAGCGGGCGATTCGGGTTTGGCGACCCCTTCTGGTTCGACTGGGTTTGGGCCCGCTTCTGATTCGATTGGGTTTACGCCGGATTCTGCTTCTTCTGAGTTTACTCCCGCTTCTAATTCGACTGGGTTTGCGCCCGCCTCTGCTTCTGCTGGATTTACGCCCGCTTCAGGTTCGGGTTCCATTGGCCTCGCGTCATTTTCAAGTGCGGTCTGAGTAGCGGCAGGTTCGGATTCTCCTGGATTGGCAACCACTTCCGGTTCAGTCGGTTCGGCTGCCACTTGGGGTTCTTCCGGTTTTTCTCCTGTCTCCTCTTCTCTTGGCTCATCCCGATTGGCGGCCGCTTCGGGTTCGGCCGCCTGGACCTGTACTTCCGGCGCTTCCGGTTTTGCTCCTGTCTCCTCTTCTTTCGGTTCATCTAGGTTAGCGGCAATTTCGGGTTCTGTTGTGCTGGGGCCCCCTTCTGGCTCGACCGCTTCTTCCGGTGCTTCCACTGCTTCCATCGGTTCCATCGTTTCCGGTTTTTCGGTTGTTTCCTCTTGTCTTGACTCAACCGGGTTGGTTACCCCTTCTTGCCCAGTTGGGATGGGGGAACCCTCTGGCTCGGCTGGACTGGCTATAATTTCCGGTTTGATTGGACTGACGATGACTTCCGATTCGATTGGCCCTTCCGCCTCCTGAGTTACTTCCACCTTCGTGTCTATTTCCCCCTTCGCTGCCACTTGTCCCCCCTTGACGAGCACCCTCTTGCGGCGGCTCTTTCCCCTCGGTTGGGGGCCTCTGCTGGGGGGTCTGAACTGAGCACAGTCATTGAGGCACTTGATAAAGATCTTCAAAAAGATCTCCAAAGAGTAAAAGTAAAACGAATGAATTTTTTTGAGCTTCTGCAGGATGAAGAAATACATCACCCCCCGTCTGGACAAAGGTCTATACAAATTGATGATGGTATTGATGTGCACTTCTGTGGTTTTCACTATTTCGGTTTTTTTCGTAATGTTCTCACTGAGCAGTTTCGTCGTTTCTAAATTTTCAATGAGAGAAACATCTTCCAGGATGTCTCCCTTTGCATTGGTTAGCTTCTGTAAGATGGACGATTGGAGAAAAGATAGCTGACACATGTAGTCATACTTAAGTAAGGATAATTTTTTTCTCTTTTTGGACAAATGGTTGAATTCGTTTTCTAGGGTGATGGATAGGAGATGCTCCTCCAAATCGTCAGGCGTTACAGTGAAATTGATGAGAGAGCAGGCTGACTGGACCTCTGGTTGGTAATGCGGATTGGACAACTGAGTATGCAGGATAATGTAGAAGGAGGGGTGGAAAACGTGTTCCTTGTCGTTAATATTAATGTAGTAATTGTTTTTTCGCCTTATTATATTTTTTGAAATAATATTGTACAGTGAGTTATCGATGTTTTCATCCGCATTTTCTATGATAATGGAATAGCCAAATGAGAGACACTCGATTATTTTTTTAAAAAGCATACTGTCGTTTATGTCTGTGATTATTAGCTTTTCGCTTTTCTCCTTTTGGCTGTTGATTAGCCATTTGAGGCTTTCCATTTGAGGATCTATAATGATGGGGAATTTTTCGCTGTTTTCCAGGATCAGGTTATTTTCTATGCACACCGAGTTTAGGGTTAATCCCTGCTTGCTCAACTTAGAAAGAGTTTCTTCGTTTATTAGGAGATCCAAGTTGAAGCTGCTCACTGAGAAGATGTCGTATGGGAGGTCTTCCTTGGAGTCCTCCGCGCAGGGGGGAGCATCTCCTCTGTGTAGCGCATCATCTCCCCCCGTTTGTTCTAAATCGCTCTGATCTCTACCCACGCCGCTGCTCGGAATGGAAGCACCAGCGGTGGAAGCACCCGCAGTGGAAGCACCCGCGCACTCCTTTGCCGTGCTAGCCGAGGCGCCCGCCCCCTTGACGGGCTTCTCCTTTCCAGCGCTCTTTTGCAGCTTCTTAAGCACTTGGCTGAAGACCTCGTTCTGAATCTGGTTCTTCCTATTCAACGTCTCAACACATTTTGTCATAATTTTGTTTCTGTACTTTTTGGTGAATCCTCCGCAGAAGGTAACAAAAGTGGAAGACAATAGTATATCCGTGAGGATGGTTTTGTTTTTCTTCTTCAAAGCTTCATACTGATTAGACCAGGATATTTGTTCACTGCTCAAAGCGTCTATCAATCTGATGGAGAGTTCCAACTTGGTTTTAAGTTTCTTCTCTTCCAAAATGACAAGGTCTCTTTCGTAGAGAGCGTGATCATATTGACTTATAAGAGTGCTGAGCTGGGCTTTAAGGGACTGTACTTTTTCTCGTACCGTCTGTAACTTGTCGTTTGCTTCTTCCAAGCTTTTTTTCGTACTTTCTAGGAGGGTTCTCTTGGGTAAAATATTTTGTATAATTTTGTGAAACGATGTAACATTTAGAACCCATTCAGCTAGCCCTGCAGCAGCTTTGGATTTTTTCTGAATCGCATTTTTGTTGAAATGGGGAAGGTTAATTAGATTCTCTACGTACTTGAAGTTGCAATCTGGAACTAAATTTTCGTCAATCTTATTTTTGTAGTCTTTAAGTAGGGAGATAAATTTTTCTGGATTGATCATCATTTTCTGAGCAGACTTCCAACTTCTATCTTTAATTTTTCCAAACTTGTCGACCGAGATCGTCGTGTCGATTGTTGCTAATAGCTGCATAACTGCTGCGGTGATGTCTTCCACTCCTGGAGGCGGTTTATTTAGTGTCTTTAATTCTTGTATGTTTTTTTTGTTCAGTGTGTTCAATGCCTCTTCCGCTTGTTCTATGAGGGGAATTCCCAAGGCTATGTCATTTTCACATTCCTCCTGCTGCTTGAGCACCGTTTTTTGGATTTCTAGACAATTCTGTTCTTCTATATCTGCCAAGTCGCTCTCTTTCTTAACGATCATCTTTTCATTTCCAATGTCTATGGCATATTTTTCTGCGGCTTCTTTTTTCTCTTCCGATATTTTTTTTTTTTCCTTGAGGCAATTTTTGATATTTTCCACGTTTGCGCTGGTTTCGTTCATTTTGGTGATTCCGCTTTTGAGCATATCCATTTTGCTGCTTATACTGCTGATGTTTTTTAGCAGCATCATGTGGTAGGTCTTGATACTCTCCAGGTACAGCTTGGGGGTGATGTAGATATGCGCCCTCTCTTGGGCGTAGTAGTTGGAGGCGATTTCGAGCAAGTCCTCGTAGCACTCCTTCAGGTACTCCGTCACGATTCCCTTCAGGTTGACGTGCTCCTCGGGTGGGGCAGCGGCAGAGACAGCGACAGTGGTAGCTGTAGTGACAGGGGTAGTGACCGGGGCAGTGTCAGCGGCGATGGACACTGCTGCTCCGCTCTGCGGCGCGCCCCCCAGGCAGTCCTCGCTGAGCTCTATGTCCCCAGTGCGCAGGTTCATGTAGATGTCGCTCACGTAGTTCTGCCCCACGCAGAGAAGCGAGTCGGACTCCCAATTATAATAAATGTCAATCAGTGTGTTGTTCAGGATGCATTGGAAGTTATTCGACTTGTCTCTAAAATTGTTGCTGGTGGGGGAGAAGCAAAGAATGAAATGCAAATTCTCATTGACCTTCTTCAGGTAGTACTCGAATATGCTATTGTCCGTCTCCTGGACGCCGTCCGCCTTGGCAATATTCCTCATATTCTGAACAATGTAGTCCTTCTCCTCTTTTGTATACAAATCGATAATATTATTTGAGCACATGTATTCATTGACGTAGATGAAGAAGCTATCATGAATTTTACTCTCCTTTAGGAACAGAATGATATCTTCATTTTTCATACCACACTTGTAAAAAATATTTTGTAAATATTTCTTCACATCATTATCTGTGCACTGTGCAGAGAAGTCCATCTCGAAAAAAGTCTTCGACGAAATGTACGAGGAAAACTTAGAGATGGTTGTCTTGCCGCATCCACCAATGCCTAGCAGCAAAGCATGTGATTTTAGATTGTCTATAATTCGGATTAACTTACAAATATGTCTTATTCCCTCATTAAAAAGGACGATATTTAGATTATAAAATGTATTGTATTCATTTAGTTCCTCTGTTAAGTAGGCAGTAAGGTCGTCCATATTTCTGCACATATCGTAGACCTTGTCGTTGTATCCACTTGTTGTACTTCCTCTATGGAAGTTGGAAAAAAGCAAAGACTTGTCATTTTTCATCACAAATTTGTTTATCTCATACTTGTTGTACATTTTTTTCACTATATCGATAATGAGTGTTTTGAATTTCTTCTTATCGGCCTTGTTTAGCTTGTCGGAGTATGCCCTTTCACATTCATGTAGCCAAAGGAAGAGCAACTTATCGCAATCTTGGAAGACCGTAGGTTGTGCAGTAAGTAAGCCCTTCACAATGCTGTGAATATCTCGAAGGTTAAATTCGTAGTAAAAATAGGTGGCGGTCCTTTTGAAAGTTTTCTCTATATTGTAAAAGAGCGAAATGGTCGACTTTAGGATGGATGGAACTAAGTCCGCTACGTCCTGCTTGAAGCTGTTAAAATGTCCCTTGAGGAGGACACTAAAAATGCTGTTAACGGTGTTATTCTCTGGGAAGCTAACATTTAGGATGAAGAAGTGTCGGAGCAGTCTTGGATTAACCGTAAAGTTTCCCCTGTTATAATTCATACAAGACATGAGCTTTGTATTCACTATTTTGATGAGGTTTAATTTTTCCAAATCAAACCAAGAATTTGTGTCGATATATTGGCATAACAACTCAATGGCACTTTGTGTGTTGTAATCATCACACTTTGGCATGTTAATGTCATCGATAAAATAGATCAACTTCTGTTGGAAGGGGGGGCTAAACTGCTTGCCCGATTTTTTTTCCAAACAGCTTTGCATTAAGCACTGCACATTCTTAGCATTCGTGTAATAGTTGAAAATCATGTAGAAGCTTTTGTATTCTTCCCTTTCTTCACTTAGAATTTTTTTACACAGCAGAGTTTTTCCCACTCCTGTTTTTCCGATAAATAGAATGGGCATGCTAGACTTAAGGAACACTTTACTTATATACTTGTAGGAGGAACTTTCCACCGTTTCGACGAATATGTCATCCTGGAGAATATGACTTGGGTCGACTTCATTCTTTATTTCACTCTCGTCCCACTCTTTGAATTTATTACCTTCTATGAAAAAATCGAACACGCTAATTTTCCTATTCACCTTGATACTTTTAAAGGTATTTTTCCAGTACTTGTCGAAGCTCTTTTTATAGTTTGTATTGTCTTTCTCTCCAAGGAAGCTTCCAAAGGACCATATCACTGAGTAGACGAAGTAGTGTTCTATGCTCTCGAAATTGTTATCCTTTAGCAGGATGTCTAGCAAGGCTGCCAAGGATTGGATGTGCGAAATGGGAGATACTTTAACGGACGTGTTCACCGTGGTGAGGTACGCAAAAGTGGGTTCTATATATTTGTACATTAACTTTTCAAAGGACTTCTTAACGGTGGCATTAAAATTTTCATGCTTGTCAATCCAGGAGAGGAAGTAATTCTTCCAGAGATCATTCGGGTCTACACAGAAGTAGACCAGCCCTGCTCTCGATATCGTAGCTGGAGTTGCAAACATTAAGTCGCTAAACTCGAAGATTAAGTTCATGTGGTTTTTCAACAGAATTCTCTCATTTGACGATAGGGTCAGCACTTTGTTATCGTCCATCACGGAATTCATATTTTCTATCCAGTGTGAGTCCAAATTTCCATCGAAGATGATGTAGGCCTTATCGCAGTCTTCCCTCTTTGAGTAGTTTCTCATATATTTGGAGAACACGCCATCTTTCCATTCCCTCGTCTTTATATGGACATTTCCGTACAAGTCATCAATACTGATCGATTTTGGGTTGATTCGGATGCTCACCGTTTTTAGGTTCTGTTGCTTTTGGTATTCCATCAGCATGTTGAAGAGGGTCGTCTTTCCGCACCCCGCCTCCCCCATGATGAACACGCAGTGCCTTATGTTGATGATATCGTTGAGCTGCATTATTTTTTTAACGAAGTAGTTCAGTCCGAACAGGTGGTTCCTCCTGCAGATCTCCATCAGCTCTTCTTCTATCGCGTTCTGGTGGAACGGCCCGGCGGTCGGGTTCGACGGAGAGTTTTCCTGGACGTTATGGGGATTAGCGGCGTTAGCGGGGTCATCGTCTTTCTGCGGGGCGTTTACTACTCCATTTAGGACGATTTTTTCATCCCCTCCGACCTTGTCTTCCGCCACCCCATCGTTCGACGCACCGTTCGACGCACCGTTTGCGCTCCCCCCCTGATGGGAAAAGAATATGTCGTTGAGGAGCCCGGAGAAGACGGGGCAGTTGGAGGCAGATATCTTCGCGATGTTAATGTCGTGTATGGCCGAGTAGAGCAATTTGTTCTCGTCCAGGTCTGGGTAGGTCCTCTTGAGGAACCCGGCCTTGGTAAGAACACTCTTGATGCTTCTCAGCCCCCAGTCGCAATGCTTCTCCTTCAGTAGACTTTGCGCCAGATCGAAGAAGGTGGTAAATTTTATAGACAAGTACTTTGCATCAACGTATCCCTCAGCCATGAGCATATTTTCACAAATCTTATTAAAGTCTGGAACAATGACCGTGATGGGTCTGAATAAAATTTTGAGGCTCTCTGGCAATTTGGATCTGCCCAGATAATCCGGGTTCATGGTGATAAAGACGGCGCAGTTTTTTTTCACGATAATTTCATCCGATCCGATTATGCAAACATTATTATTATTCCGTTTGCAGTCCAGGATGGACTTAAATTGGATGGAGCACACAGACAGCACTTCCGGGATGAGCCTATTGAATTCGTCGAAGCAGCACCAGCACCCAGTGCTCCCAATTCCCTTAAATATATTCCCCATACTTTTATAATCCAGTTGATCCGAGCAATTAAACACGTAGCAGTTTTTTCCAAAGAAGCTCGACAAATCTTTTGTCGTCTCAGTTTTTCCCGTTCCTGCAGGGCCAGCGGGAGCGCATCCCATATAGAGACTTAGCGCCTGCGTAGCTGTGATGTATATACGGCTAGTCAATGGAGTAATGACCAGCCTTTGGTAATTGCCGATGTAATCATAGGAGTAGTCAAAGGAGCAGTCCATGATTTTTATTTTTATATAAAGCTTCTTGAAATCTAGAGAGTTTTCTTCATAAATGTTCTTTTCATCTGTGTGGTTTCCCATGGATTGATTCACCTCTTTCTCTGTTGTTTTCTCCACTGATGTGGTTGTCTTTCCCCCTTGCTCCATCTCCTCGGTTACTTCTTCATGTTTTCCTGCACCGTGACTTCTTTGTCCATACCTCTCAGTACTCCCCCAAGACGGAGAACCAGCACTCGTCTTATCTTTAAAGTATGGGTACATCCTAATTTGCGACTGCCAATCGAACATGTTTATCGAAATGGGGTTTTTATTTTTTAGGATGACTTCAAGAATGTCTCTGTAGAAAGTGTCCAGAGTAATTATGCACATAATTTTGATTCTGTTCTTCATGGTCAGTTTTTTTTGAACCTTTTTAATTACATTTTCCAGTTGAGTGATGTGATTTTTATAGTAAGCCTTGAGCTGTTCCTTCACATTTGAATCTCCCTTTCGTAGAATATTTTCAACATCGTGAACGAAAAAGATGGAGTTGCAAAGGATAAAAACTTGCGATAAGTAATTCTGGTCTATCCATTTGTCTTTCTCCATATTGTACATGTGTTTCAATTTGAAGAGATTTCCAATGTAGTACTTGAGGGTGTATTTGATGTGCTTGATGATGTCGTTTAGGTAGCACTCGACCTTTCCCTTGAGCGCTAGGGGCTCGTGGAAGCTGCATACTTCTTCTCCGTAGGACGAGATCAGCTTCGTGATAACCTCGTTTGGGACCTGCACAGGGGGGTGCTCAGCGGGGGGGACACATGAAGCGTCGTCTTGAGCATGAGGGGCATATGGAGCGTCGGCTGGACTGCTCCCCTTTGGGGGCTTTCCGCCTGTGGATCCGTCCATATTGACTTGGTTCCCCATATTGACTTCGTTGCCCAAACTAACTTCCTTCCCCAGACTGACTTCGTTCCCCAGCTCATACTCCGTGAGGACCTCCCTGCGCGTTACGAACCTCCGGATTGAGAGGAAAATCTTCTGCACGTGGGTGTTGACGAGCTTGAAGTTGTTTCCATTGGAGAGAATATCGATCAAGTCGGTAGACGATATGAAGAAGAACCTAGGGAAGGACTTCCGCTTGGAATCAAGGTACTCGTTTAGAGGCTTCTCACTCTTGCATAGCTTCACCTTTAGTTCTTCTAGCTTCTCTATAATTCCCTCCTCATTAGCGAAATCCACCACCTTGGTGTTGTTCCCAATAATTTGCTTCAGCATTTCTAAGTACTCATCATTGATGGTGAGAAAAAATTTGGAGTACAAAGGGAGTTCCTTTTTCACTTCCTCCGAGTAGACATACATATTTTGAAGATACACCCAGAGCTTCTCTATATCTTTGAGTAGGAGAATCACTTCGTAAATATTGGAGATTTTTTTCTGCCAGATGTTTAGCTCCGTTGAGAAGAAGAGGAAGTACTTTGATGAGAAGCAGTTCTGAAGACTCATTTGATGTTCCTCTATGGTCTCAATGCACATATCATCAATGTAGGTAAGAATGATCCCATTTTTGTAATCCTTATTCTTAAAATGGATACCATCCCAGTAGTCGTGAAATTTTTGTATTATCTCCTCTATGCTCTTTTCATTATAAGCTTTGATGATAACTTCTTCTATCGACTCATGGTACTTTATCACATTTAGTTTGTAAAAATAGATTGTCAGTGTGTTTTCATCGATGAGAAGGTTAATCGGTTCTTGGTTGTCTTTGTATCTCTCCTCGTTTATGGTAACTTCGATCTCTTTTATGTGTCTCTGCTTAATGAAGGGCTTTTTTAATTCACCTATGACGGATACGAATTTTGTAGTGTCTTTCAGCTTGGCCATTTCTTCCTTCCATATATTGTGTTTCCTATCCACTTTGATTTTCTTAAACTCATTCTGTAGGTTTTTCATCTGTATGTCGAACTCTTCCACATCTAAATCGTTAAATGTAGAGAAAAGGAACCCGTTAAGCACTTGATCTTTTTTTTTTATAAACATCCATAGCTTTTCTATTTCATCGATTTCTTTTTCTAAATTGTCAATATCCTTGCTTAACTCTTCTACGTTGTCTATTTTTACGATGTTTTGTGAAATTTGCTCCACCTTTATCACTTCTTCTTTAATTTCTTGTACGTATTTTTTCATATTTTCCAGCTCTTTCAGGGACCCTTCGTAGCCACTGCTATGTGTATAGACGGTGGAAGTTTCCAGATTTTTTTTTATGTTTACAAACTTGTTGTAGTTAAGCTTCATCGTTTTTATGCTTTCCTTTTCTTCCTTGACGAATTCTTCCTTTAGCTCCTTTTCCTTTTTACAGATGCAGACGGATTTCAGCTTGTGGTAGAAGCTGAGTAAATTTCGGATCACTTCTATTTGGTTATCTTCACCCTGGCGTGGGAACTCCTCGAAGGGGTTACCTACAGGGGGATTCGATAAAGCGGTCTTCCCTGGAGCGGTCTTCCCCAGTGCGGTATCGCCCCCCCCGCCGTCGCTCCTCTTCGCCTCCTTCCTGTTGCGCAGGTTGGATTCCTCGCTGTTCAGCACCGCAATGTAGCTCTTCAGCCTCTTCACCAAGTTGGCTTCTATGCAGTCCACGAATTTCATTTTACTTGAGTCGATAAAGTTGGCAATGCCTTCGTTGTCCTTCACCTTCAGGAAGGCGCTGCCTGCGCCCTGCGCGGGGGAGTCTGATGGGGTTCCATTTGTGCCGCTTTTCCCACTTGGGTCGCTTCCGCCATTTGTTACTCTTCCGCCACTTTGACCGCTTATCAATTCGTCGATGTACCTCTCGATGAAAGACTCGTCCTCCAGAGAGGCTTGCACCACGTTCCCCTCACGGTGCACCTGTTCTAGTATTGGCTCCACCATCCCCGCATCGATGGACCCATATAGTATGTACTGCTCGATGGTATTTATGTCATATATCGACTTGGAGAAATTGCTCAGAAATTTTTCAATGTTAACATTTAGCTCAATCAGCTTGGCGGTGCTCAACTCTTTGTTTCTGATCAAATCGAGAATGCGTTCTCCTTTTTTTATTAAGTCTTCTAACCGATCGTTTATAAATTTTTTCACGAACGTGGTTTTGTCTGTTACTCGGCTGTACACCTTCAGGGCCAAGGGACTGTTTCGGGTGTCTTCCCCCTTCAGCTTCACCGATATGTGGATGGTTCCCGTGGTGAGTGGGGGGTGTTCCTCCTTTCCGCCGCTTTCATCTCCTTGGCCGATTTCCCCCTTGCCCGGATTCTCTTGGTTTTTCGCGTCTACCCCTTTAACCGCGTCTACCCCGTTAATCGCGTTTACCCCGTTAACCGCGTCTACCCCGTCAACCGAGTCTACCCCTTTCACCGCTTCTACCGCCTCCACCGCTCCTGGAGCCAAGTTGAAACCCCCTTCGGCAGGGACGATGGCATCCGTCGCCGCCCCCTGTTCCCCATAAGGGAAGTACTTGACGATGTAAAACCCATTGTTAAGATCATACAGGGTGTATTTCACGTCGTGGTGAATCCCATCCTGTTCATACGTGATGCTGATCTGGAATTTATCTCCTCCGATTTTTTTCTTTTCGTTCAAGGAGTTTCTAGCTATGAGAAAGAAAATGTGGGGTTCTTTTAAAGAAATGGGTTCTAACAAGCCAGACCCAAAAATCAGGGTCTTCTTTGGATCGATATTGTAGTAATACTCCAGAACGCACTTATTAGTCGTGTAGCATTTGTCATTTATGGAGAGGTGCACATCACAGATGTTGTTTTTAATTTTGTCTTTTGCACTAGGCGCAATGGTGTAAATGTAATTCTCATTAATGTAGATTCCTTCACTGAACAGGTCGACATCATCAGACGTATATTTTATACTTATCTTTCCTTCGTTCATAAATCCTTTTCCCTTCAAGAGTATTTTTTTCCCACCGTCCATATCGCAGTGTTTTGGAAGTAGGGAAAAAATGGCATACTTGGGTCCTATAATTCTACTTATATTCATCACGTAAATTTTTTGCTTAGAATCTGTGATGATCAAATTGGCGTCCACAAAATCGTACGTGATTGAGCACAGGTTGATAGTACTCGTTGGGTCATCTTGCTCGTGAGTTTCTCCCCTTACTGTTCCTTTTGCTTTGTCCACTTGGCTGAGTAGTTGGTTCCCCTGTTTACTTGTTGCGGATCCATTCTGCGCGTTGGTAGCTCCCGTGGTTATGCTGGCAATTCCTCCCATTCCGCTAGACGCAGAACCCGTTTCAGCATCCTTACTCCTAACCATGGTATATTTCAAATCTTCCAACTTAAACGTATCATACAGTTTCAACATATTCAGCTCTGCATTATTGTACCCTATTTTGCTGTACTCTATTTTGCTATACTCTATTTTTCGGTTCCCTTTTTCATCACTAACAATGTTGTATCCCCCGAAAATGAAAATGATATTTCTGTCGATAGACTCCACCATGACGCTTCTGCAGAATACTTTGGACACATTGAAAGAGTAGGAGAAATCTATTTCGGACCATTCGTTGTTGCTTAAGTTGCAGGCGTACATGTCATTAAAGCTGACTTCCGCATTGGTTCCACCCAAAATGAATAAATTCTTTTCATTGATGAAGGAGACATGTCCGTATCTATTCGAGGGGATGCTACCCTTGCAGGATCGTAGAATCCACTGGTTTGTCAAAATGTCGTATTCATACAAGTCGTTGAAGCTGCTTCTGTCGTACCCGCCGTACCCCCCAAATAGGATTAGGCTGAAATATTCGTATTCGTTTGAATTTTTCAGGACAATTTTGTTGTTTTTTACGCTTAATTGGTTTCTTTCCCCCGAAGATTCCTCCCCGTCGTCTTCAGCTCCATCTTCTGTTTCGTCTGCTGCTTTGTCTGCCACTTTCTCCTCCGCTTTCTCTGCCGCCTCCTCCGATGCCCCTTTCTTACTTACGTATAGGTCTAAGCTGGAGAAGTACCTCGGGGCGGGGACAACACAGCTACCCTGACTGGCTAGCGCACCTTTGTCACAGCTCAGATATTTGCCTAATTTTTTCAAGTGCACACTGTTCAATATATAACTGTTATTGTTCCCATCGTCTTCCGAATCCACTTTTGTGTAATCGTCTTCTCCGCTTAATTTCGATCCTTCGTACATTTCGTCATCTCTCTCTGCCTCGCTTTGGGAAGACCCAGGCGCCGTCTCCACCCCCTCAGCCGCTTCTTCGGCGGCAGTCACCTTTACCTCCGCAAAGGTTTTATTTGCGCTGTTAAAAATCCACAAGTCATTAAGCGCAATAAAGGGCACTTCGCTGTTTAGCCCGCCAAAAATGACAACATAGTTTTCCAGCAAAGTGCACGAGTTGTGGTAGCACCTAGATTTGGGCTTCACTTTGCTCCTTAACGTTTCATACTCGACTTTCTCCTTTTTGATGTGCACCAGATAGGCGTCGTTGCAGACGGTGCCCGCGCCGTCGTCACGATTGCTGCCATTGTCACCATCGCCACTTTCGCTACCGTTTCCACCATCTTTGTCGCTACCCTTTTCATTCGTCTCCGCGTCGATTTTGAACCCCCCGAAGAGCAGCACCCCCCCCAAGGTGAAGTTCACGCTGTAACCAATGACGCTCTTCTCCTGGGCGCTGCTTTTGAGCTCGGTCAGACTTAGGGCCTCATACTGCCCTTCGGGATCCTTTGTCATGTTTTTCGGCGCGGAGGGGCGGGTGCATATGTGTTGAAGTGTGTCTGGGGGGTTAGTATGTATATACGTGTATGTCTAAGATCGCATGTATATTACTGCGCGTGTGCTATTAGCCACAGCGAGGGGCCCGCACTTCCGGAGCAATTTCAGAGATTCTCCTCTGCTTTCCCCCCTCAAGGTAACACCCAAACAGGGAACAAGTTACACTCACGTAGACGCTCCTCCTCTTTTTTTTTTTTTTGCAGGGGAAAATGGAGAGACACTTTTTGGCACTAATGTGAAAGTGCTCCTAAGAAGGTCCTGTATACCTGCGCGGTTTTAAAGGACCGTTTTGGCGCGCTTCCTAAGTCTCTACTGTGCCGCTTCTACACCCTTTGCGCAGTTTCTTTTCCCCATCGCTTAGACAAATGCGAGTGATTGAAGCGAAGATCAATATGCACCTCCGCCCAACAAGCAAACTCGCCTAGGTTAGGAGCTCACCGAACGCATCGCGTAGCTGTCTAATTGTATCTATATTTCGCGAGGCATACGTTATTCCTAGCGTCTGCCAAATGTGCACAGGTGCTCAAGTGGAGACTCTATATGCACGGGAATACTGGGAAAATGTACCCCAAATGAAACCGCAATATTGGAAATTTTTTTTTTGATGTTTTTTTTTTTTTCTTTTTTCCCTATGCCAAGTTGGAAAGTTCATTCATCACTTGTGTTACTCGCTTGAGGATTCGTTTTACTATGTTGCTGATTATTTAAAAGTTTTTTTTTTTTTCTTTCACACATGGTGTGTGCAATTGATTTACTAAAAAATGTGGAGAGATAAAAAAAAAAGGGGTGGGGAAAAAGTAAAAGGCATATCTGGGAGACCACAATTTATTTGGTTTTCTTTTTTCCTCCCATTTTAAACAAAAGACATAATCAAGTTTGATAACAGGAGTTCGAAGATCCCGTTTTGGAAACAGGCATGTGGTGATTTATCCACGTGGACAATAAAAATGGGCACTTCTCTTCCATCGTGTGATGTTTTACAAAATGTTTGAAAATGGAACAAACGGGGGGGGGTGGGGCGTGATGAGCTGTGGTGCGGTGTGGTTAGCTTGGACGAGGTTCGCCCAGGGTCCATTCGCCTTCTTGTGGCTAACTCAGATGCGGAGCGGCACCGCCAAAGACAAGCTGCAAGGAGGAAGTGCACGCGTGAAGTGCAAGCGGGGAACTGCAAACGGACTGCTCCCGTGTAATCACATGTTAAGCTATAAAAGGTGGGTGAAATGGAAGGAAGAACGAGTAGGTAAGGGCCATTGCAGGGAAACTCCAAAAAGGAAGAGGTACGCAAGAAAATGTGTGCATGCATATATGCCTAACGCATGCGTGTCCCTTACCCACGTTTATAGGCGTTCCTCCAAATTTTACTCTCAAGTACAATTCAAAGTGTTGGGTAAAAAAAAGAAAAAAAAAAAAAAAAAAATTATATTTTACTTTTACGTGGAAATATACTATACATATCCACCTTCGGGTCCTCCAGTTGCTTTTTATTTTTTCTCCTCTTTATTTGGGCCTAAAACGTGCTTAAAAGGTACTCTTTAAAGTCTTCGAAATTTATCTGCAGACGGGGGGGAGGGTGAACCGGCGCGGGGATGGGCAACGGACGCTTTTGCTATTTTGTCGTTTTTTTTCGTTTTCTTCTCTCTTTGGCGTCTCAATTTGTCGCTTGTTTTCTCTTTAGCGTTTTGTTTGCCCCCGAATTACCCTGTTGGCGCGCCGCTCGCAAGATAAGCCCTTCTTCACAAGGAACACGGAAGTGAAAAAGTTGTCGACGTCGTGACTCTCGATGACCTTGTCCTGCACCAGCGTTACTATGTCGCTTTTGCTGATGTAGCCATCTTCGTCCTGCGGGATGGCGTGGAAGTCATTACGTTTTGCGGGGTGTAGAAGCGGTGTAGCATCGCCGTGGCGGCGTCTTAAGTGCCCGCCATTGCACTTCTCCTTCTGGAAACCTTGTCGATCTTATTGAAGGCCGCCTTTAAGAAAGTGGATTCTATGTCCTTCCATCGGTAGCATCCGGCGATGAACTCTGCATAGGTGAATGAGCATTGGGAGATGGCGTGTTTATATGTGTGGGGGGGTGGGGTCCTCCATGCGAAGGGATGCTTAAGCGTACGAGTATTCACGTGCAAGTGTGAGAATGCAAATCCGCATCCTTATGTGTGTGTGCGCACCCGTGTAGGTCACGCTGCCGCGGTCGTTGATGTCCAGCGCCTGCACGATCCGGTTTATGTCCCACTTCTTGATTCCCGCATTGGCCAGCACGGCATAAATTTCCCCGTGACTGAGCGAGCCGTTGTGATTGGTGTCTATTTTGCAGAAGAGCTCGTTGATGTATTTTAAGTGGCTGTCTATTACGCTCAGCTCGTGGGCCATTATGTTCACTATGATGTTCCTGATGTTGGATTGCTTCATGTAGGCCTTTATGTTGCTGAGCGTGCTTGGGTTGATTTCCACTGGGTCTAGGAAGCCCTGGAACCAGGGGTGGTGCAGGAGCTGCGTGTAGGGGGGGAGGGATAAGGGGTAGGGGTGTTCTGACGTGTAGTTGAAGAGGTCAGAAAGTGTGATCGTAGTACTGAACAGGTGTGGTTGCAAACGTCAGCAATTGTGACTCCAATACTGCACAGCTGCTATTCCAGACAGGCGCTCAGGCCTACCACTGCCGCCATGGGGCGCCGGGTATGGTCCTTCTCCAGCATGAGCTTCAAAATGTGCAGCGCGGGCTGAGACATCCGGCCCTTCAAGCTCTTGTAGTCAGGCTCGTCCTTGAATATGCTGAGCTTAATCTCGTCGTAGGTGTTCCCACAGAAGGGGAAATTTTTGGAGAACAAAAAAAACATAATAACTCCAGCTGACCATATATCACATTTGATGGTAAATTTTTTTTTAAAAACTTCGGGTGCCATGTAGAGGAGAGTCCCTGCAGCAGTTTTGCTAACCCCCTCGGTGTGATTAATCAATTCAGCTAGTCCAAAATCAATGATCTTTAATGTATCATCCCCCTTCGATTTGAATAAAATATTCTCAGGTTTCAAGTCCTTATGAGCAATGTTGTTGCTATGCATATACGCTATGGCACACAAAATTTGAAACATAATATTTTTTATATATTCTTCATTGAAAAATGCCGATTTCACTATCTTTTCCATAAGTTCTCCTCCTTCACAAAGCTCCATGACAATGTAAGTGCAGTCCACATTTTCATAGACGTCAAATATTTTTATGATGTTTGGATGATCTAGATATATGAGCACATTAATTTCTTCGTTAATTTTTATATTTTTTAATTTTTTTTTTTTTAATATTTTCACCACTTTGTAAAGCTTACAGATGTTGTCTTCTACAAGGTGTACTTCTCCGAAGGCACCACACCCCAGGATTTTTTTAAAACTCAGATAATTGTATATCGATGAGTAGTCGTACCCTCCCAGATTCTTCCTGCTGATTATGCAGTTCCTTTTTATCTTTAAGTTCTTGGTTGGGTAATACTTTTTCTTGATCTGCTTCAGCAGGTCCCAATACATCTGCCTGAAATCGGTGTAGTTCATGCTGTTGTTCTTGCTGCTGTCGTAGTCTTTGTAGACGATCGAGAGGATGTTCTCTGCAGGGGGGGAAGGCGGCATGGTGTTAGAGAAGCAACAAAGGAAGACGTTTCCATGTGGGCCCTTAAAAAATTTCACTTGCGCACACAAATCACTGGTGATATTTGCCTAATTGGCATGCTGCGACCACACGACTACGCCCAAGACTCCTCTAAATGCTTACTATCCACAGGGGGGAGCTCCAAATTGAAACAAAGCTTCTGAATCAGTGAGTCAATCTCGCTGAAATGCAGAAAGTTCTTATTTTTCACATCGAACTGCTGAAAGGTGGCTCTTGCGGATCGCTCGAAAATTTCGCTATTCTTTAGAACCTTGTCAATTTTGCTTTTTATATAAAATGGGGTCGCCAACACTTCGTCATTATTTTCATTTCGTTTCTTCAGTTCATTGTTCTCGATCATTTTTCTGTTTAACGTTTGTTCCATTCTGACATCTGACTCTTCGTCCTTTCCCTTTCCTCCCTGTAATGCAATTTGTCTTCCCCTCTTTAGAGGATCATCTTCAAATTGAGCTATTTTATTTTCATTTCCAAGGGGGCTTCTATAATGGAGTTGTTGATATATGCTTGGTAGAATGCTCTCCTTTCCGGGTACCTTCCTGTTCGTGTCTGCATCTAAGTCGTGCCTGCTTGTGTGATATTTCCTGCTGTATTTTCCACTCATTATATCGTTTGAGCTGATCGCTTTGGAGTCCTCCGGTTTAGGATTCTTCTTGTTCCTGTCGAGTGTCTTCCCAATGTCGTTTTTTGTTCCATCCCATGTCACGGGGGCTACTTTGGGGGAATCAGAAACTTTGGAAGGAATCGGTGCTTTTGGCGAAGACCCCCCTTTGTAGGAAAATCCCGGCATGTTATTACTTCCACTTTTATGAATCCCCCTGTTGTCATATGGCCTTCGGCCACTGTGCATAATAGTACCATCATTGATGGCTTCCTCTTGGTTCGAAAAGGTGTCCAGAATTTTCACCGCATCCCTTTTGCTGTAATGTGCCATATCGTCTTTTATCATGGACGGCTGGGAGAGTGATGTTTTTTGGTGGAGGAGGAAGTGATCATCGCGTTGATGATGCTGCTGGTTGATGCCTTTGTTCTTCTGCTGGTTGTCGCCTCTGTTCTGCTGCTGGTCGTCGCGCCTCGGGTCGGAGCTCCCCAGGTGGAGCCAGCCGAACTTCTCTACGCCGTTCGACTTGATACACGGCTCGACGCTGCTGTCCCTCTCTCGCTGCGGGGACAATGACTTCGCGGCGCTACTTTTGTTTCGGTGGAAAAAATTGCCCAGCGTCCGTCCATGCAGAATGTCCGTGAACTTCATTTTGAATTTGTCCTTTTTGTCACTCCTCTCCGCATGATCATATTTGCTATGTTCCCGTTTAAGCATATCTTCGTTGTTTTTCCTGTGCTTTATTTTGTCTAGGAAGCTTTTGATGTTATGTTTTTTTTTCTCTTCCCCGTGGGGATCCTTCTGCGTTTCTTCCCTGAGTGGTTGGAGTATTTTCCCGGCTTGGCCGAAGTGGCTATCTGTGCAGTCTTCTTCTGCTTCGTCTTCTGCTACTTCCTCTTCTTTCCCGCCTCTTTTTAAAAAATAGTCATTGGTCCCTGCGTGCACACTCTGGTTTGACGAATGAAGCATGTAGTCGAATGCGGTTATCCTCTCATCTCTGTGAATTGACCTGCTGTTGTTGTTGCTTTTGCTGATCGTGTGGGCACCTATATTAAACTTAATTAGCTTATCTTCGCCATTAGGGAGATTAAATTTGTACTTGTCCTTACTGAGGTTGGGTTTGCCAATGTTCAGGGCGTTCCTCAGGGATGATCTTCCCTCCATGGCACTCTTCCGCATGTTGTATTTCCTTCCATAGGACATGCTACTTTTTTTTAAATTACTTTCTCTTACGTTTATGTTCACATATTTTTTATTTTCCGTTTTTTCGGGGTGCTCTACTTTTGGTTTTTCTTCCTTCCTCCACCCCCTGTTCCCAAATTCTATTTCATGCCTTTTTTCACCTCCGTATATTCCTGCCGTGGGGTCATGTTCTGTGGCCTTCCACGTGTTCTCTTCATTTTCAAAATGACTGTCTTCCCTTTTATCATAGATGTGTCCCTCCGCTGGGGTGTTTCGGTACTGGAACTTGCTTGCTAGGGGGGGTCTTCTGCGGCTTGGGTCTTCCGTGCGGGTTTCCTCCTTCCGGTCAAGGGGGTCGCAGTCGCTCTCGTCGCTCTCACCGCCATCGTTTTCTTCGTCCTCCTCCTCTTCATCTTCTTCTTCTCCTTCCTCTTCCTCCTCCCCCAGTGATGCACCCCTTTTAAATTTACCGCTTCTATCAACGCCGCCGTTGCGTTCGTAGTTATACTGCGCTGCGTTGGTATTATAGTCGTCACCACTTTGGTCGTCATCACTTTGGCTGCCACCACTTTGGTCGTCACCACTCTGGCTGCCACCAATTTGATCGTCACCACTTTGGTCACCTTCCTCCTCCTCTCCTTCTTCTTCATCTTCCTCCTCCTCGCGGTCGTAATATGTCGCGTTCTCCGCTCGATAATGTTCATAGTTATCCTTGTCTTCCCTAGCAGCGTGCAGCTGTTTGTGTTTTCCCCTCTTCCCGCCATAACCTTGAGTGGCGTCATACGAGTAGGCGTCTCCTTTCTGAAACGGACGCACATTCCCTTTATCATAATCAATGCTCTTTTTATTCCTATTTAAAAATTTGATGATGTCCGAGTCGAACTCGTTATGATTACCCTTAAACGGTTCCTCATGGTTGAAATTGTACTTCTTGTAGCTTTCCTGTTCCTCTTGTTCTTGTCGCTCCTGTCCCTGTCGTTTTTTCTTTCCCTTCTTTTTGGTGATTTCCCCATTTCCATCGTCGACTGAGTATTTACTTATCAGTTTTAATGCCGAATTGGAGAAAGAATTATACGTCCTGTATTCCATATGTTCTTCCTCCACAAACTGTAGCTCATCAAAATTTTCATTTTCAAAGATATTCTCTGCGAAATCTTCCTGTTCGTTTTCTCCATAGTGTGTATTCTTTCTCTTCACGTTTAGATAGAGTCCTTTCGATGAATTTTTTTTTTTCTTCTTTTTCGTCATCGTCGTTGTCATCGCAGTTGTCGCCGTCTTCGTTGTCATCGTCTTTAGGGGGGCGTTTCTCCCCTTTGCAATTTGAAGAGGGCTATCCTCCTTTCCACCACTTGGGGGTTCACTTTTACTATGTGCTTCACTTTCGGTGAGTGAATTCACATCATCTGCGCTCTCAACCTTTGTGCTATCCTTTTCGATCTCATCCTGCAATGAGAAAAGATTTTCTTTTTTTTTTTTCTTCTTCTGCTTCTTCTCTTTTTCGATCCTAGTTCTCATTTTGTTGCTATAAAAAGGTTCCCCTTTTTTTTCAAAATTGTTTTTGATTACATCCAATATCATGTTATGTGGACTTGGGACAAGTGTGACTCGCTTTTTTTTTTTTTTTTTGCGGTGGGGAAGCGAACGAGTTCCTTTGGAGAGTCTACCAGAGGGACAACGCTAGAAAGGTGTGCACACCAAGGTACTACATGTAGACATGTGCATGCGTTGACACATGTGCATCTGTTGACACGTGTCCACTTGAGCACATCGGCATGCAGGCACGTGCCTTCGCGGATGGTCCTCACACCGCTGGGTATTCTTGCGGATGTGACAGAAATAAATGGGTGTATACGGGGTGGCGAGAAAGGGAATCGGTGCAAAAGGGGAAGAAAAAGGGAAAGGGAAAAACAGGACAAAAAGGACGCAGTGAAAAGCAAAGAAGAAGAAGAAGTGCACCGCGTGGGCGAAGAAAAGCACAGCAGGTGAGACGCAAAAGCGGAGAGCAACACAAGCCCGCTCCGCCGCTGCACCTCTCCGCCCGGAAAATCATGCAAGCTCTATTTTTGAAAAAACGAAAATAGGGATTTCCTTCAGCTTAAAGATAGCGCACTATAAATTTCTAGGAGCCGCATTTTAGAAAAACTGAAAAATGCGTGCCACTGCCCAAGTAGCCTCTGTGCGCCTGCTCATCTTCCCCGCGCAGGTTTAACAGTTTTCTCGCGCCACCCGCTGCTGCTTAGCGTTGTTTCGTTTTACCACTTATTTCGTTCTTAACATTTTTGCTTCTGTCACTTTTGTTGTTTTTTCCCTTTTATATATACAGAAAGATGCAGTGCCCCACTTTTTCGGACACAATTTTGAATCTTTGTAGATTTAGCTTTTACCCTCTTTGTTAACAGTATTTTTTTATTTTTATTTTTTTCCTTTGTGTGTATCATAAAAATATGTAGCGTTTGGGGGGGGATGGAAAAAAATTTTACAAAATGAGTTCGCAATGTAACGGTTGTGTTGTTCCTCCCCCTTCGGGTTGCTAAGCGGTGAGGCACACATACAGATATGCTTCCCCTCCTTTTGTGTTAAGCAACTGGGGACACAGTATATAAGGGAGCACACTGTTTGGTTAACTTCTACATAAATGAAATTGCAGAGTGCTGAAGCGGATTTTGTAGACGAATTGCTAATTCAGTGGGAAAAGGGATGCAGCGAGTAACTGTTGCTCACTTTGGTGAGAGAATGGTGACGCCCATAAACCTCCCTTGAAAAAGGCTAAAACGGTATGTAGATAAGAAGATAAAAAAAAAAAAGAAAAAGGAAGGACGGAAGGAAGGAAAAAATAAAATTCAAGAAAAAGAATATATTCAACAAATTCCAGAAGTTCAACAAAGCAAATGGTTATTTGAAAACGGTGGGAAAAAAAAAAATTCTAAGTGTGTTGTGCTTGTAGAACGGGGGATTATGTGGAACCACTTGATGTAGGCAAAAAATGGAGCAAATGGATGTGGGCACAAGGCGATATGCCCATATGCATAAATATGTGTACTTATATGCGCAGTAGCACACGTGCAGGACCCTCTCGCCCACGAGAAATGCGCGTCAAAACGCACACATGAACAGTTATCATGTGATCAATCACGAGGGTTAGAAGGGGACGCGCGACAGAATGAGGTGACACGCGATGAGCAGCTACGAATGGGATGAGCACCTACGAATGTGATGGGCAGCTACAAATGTGATGGGCAGCTACAAATGTGATGAGCTGTCACGAATGCGATGGGGCCAGTTGCTTCGCCGGCTGGCTGGCAAACCAAGCGAGTAACCGCGTGGGAAAACGCAGTAGTGAAAAAAAGGTGCAAGACGAAGCGAAAAATTACATTTGTTCCCCACGCAACTCTGGACAATTTCAAAACGGACATCATGCAGATTTGTACACATGGGGAAAAATTCCACCACTTTGGAAAAGCTCCTTTGTATGTTCATCCGTCCATGCAGTCTTTTCTTTTTCTTTTCCTTTTTTCTTTTTCTTTCTTTTTTTGTTCATGTCCGTGCTGCAGCACTTAACGTGAAAATCGCAATCCAGGGAAGGTTAAAATTTTTCTATTGAAAAGGTGAAGTAAAAGTAAATTCAAAATAGAGGTCATTCGCCGTTACAAGGCTCATGTGGACTTGCTTTTACTGCGCTGGTTTGTAATTTTTTTTTTTTTTTTTTTTGTTGTTCTCATTAAAAGTCTGATATATTTTTTTTTTCATCACCCCTTTGCCGCACAATTCACGCATTTTTTTAACTGCATGTATTTGTAGGATTGGCGTGTCCACTTCACAGTGTGCAACATTCTTTGGCGCGCTTTACACCTATCACATGGCTTTTACCCCTTTTCATTTTTTTTCGCCTTTTGCTCAATACCGTTACCACAGCCATTTTAAATACTACTTTCGTTCTGTATAACCACGCTAACAGCCCTGCGAGTATGTGGACAAGTAGGAACTACACCTGCGGAACGCGGTCACATGTTATATCTGTGAATCTCATGCAACCCCCCTGGGCACTGCACAGAAAGGCAAGTCAAAAAGAGCAAAGCCATATTTCCGAATGGCTTAAACGGTCTGGCTCCTCCCGCATCTTTTCCTCCTTTCATGTTTTATTAACTGTTCCGTTAATTTCTCAATTTATTTTTCAAACCTGCCGCGTAAAAGGAGCTGCTAGGTGATTGAACAATAAAGGAAAGGAACAAAAAAAAAAAAAATAAAATAAAATGAAACAAAACAAAACAGAACAAAATAAAACAAAATAAATAAAGCAAAAAAAGACGACATATAGCGGCATATATACGCATCGAAAGAAATCGGGAAAGAGACTCCTCCCGCGTTTTCACCAGCATCCACAACTCATTCGCAGGATGGGTTAAAAAAAAAGTTTAAACCTGGAAATGTCAACCGTTTCTCAACAGAAAGTCACCTTAATGGGAGGGGAAATTATGTGTAGGAAAAATATATATTCTTTTTTTATTTATTCCCATTTTGTACCCCCTTTTTTTAAAAAAAAAAAAAACATTTAAATGGGACGCCTGGAAAATAAATCAGAAAGGCTGCCTTTTCAACACATCTGCCAATAGGGCAAATTTTTCTGTTACGCTTGAACGGAGGGAAAATTTCAAGGCAGCGAGCTCCCTTTTTTCGGGCTTCGAACTTTTTACAAAAGATGACTTTTCCTCATGAAGGGAAAAAGATGGTGTCCCTGCTTTGCGTCCCCGTTGAAGCAAAAAAGTATGCCTGCTGAATGAGGCATCCCCAGCAGGAAGTTCACACGCTGGGAAGTATACGTCCACACACCCATACACACGTTCACCCCCACCCTGACAAAGCGAAGGCAGCGCTTAAAATGAAAGCCGTCCCCCTTTTCGCGTTGCTCTCCCTCCTTTTCGCAACTCTCCTACGCGTAAAATGCATTAAAAAAACTCCCCAGAGGAGGTACCCACATTGGGGATACCCCCCGAGGAGTCAGCACAAGGGAAAAAGTAGCGGCCATGAATATGCCTTCATTGGGATTGCAAAAAGGAAGTATGACTTGTCACATTTCAGGAAAAATAAAATAACTTCCAATGACCAACATGTTGTGAAAAAACAGAAGACTCTGCACATCTTATATTTACACGATGGGGAAAATGGAAAGGGACAAGTGAAGAACAATCATTTAAATATGAAAGATAAAAACTGGTGGAGTAAAGTAACATCCAACTTGTTGTTTATATTTAATAGAAATTGTCTGACCAAATTCCTCTGCGCGGGTACCTTCTGTTTAGTCCTCTACCCAGTGTACACCTCTTTAGTAAACAAAAAAATTGAACTTGCCATTACGAATGTTTTGAAAGAGAATTTTCTGTCTGTGAGTATGCCCCAAAAAATTAAAAGATATTTTTTTTCCCTTTCGTTTGGTGAATTCAGATCATCTCCATTTTTCTTGTCCACAATTTTGGTTGCATCCTACTCCTTGTATATCATTATTAAGGTCTATATAGAAAAAAAAAGGGAGGCCACACGGATGAAGTCTGCAATTGAAAGTTACAACAAGAGTAGAGAGGAGTATATAAACACGGGCAGAGATTCTTCAGAGGGCAGTGGCCACGACGACGATTATTTCGATTACGCAGATGAGGGGGGCGATTTCGGGAAGGAGGACCCTTACTGAGGAGCATTACCCCTACTGAGGAGCATTACCCCTACTGAGGAGCACTACCCCTACTAAGAAGTATTACCCCTATTGAATGCCCTCCCCGGGGGTGCCATTTGAGCAGTTCAGTAGAGTGAACCGTTCTCCGCCTCCCCCCTCGAAGTTTTTCAGTCCACATTTTTGGCAAACAAACTCGTATCGCCCACAAGCCTTCCAATGATGTCCGAAAACATATGCGAAAAGAAGTGAGATAAAATTGCTGGCTTCAAAAATGAGTAGTCGCTCTTCATTTGAGAGTTGTAGTCGCTCTGCATTTGAGAATTGGAGTCGGTTCTCTTCCCTCCTGAGAGTTGGATGAACAAGAGGTGGTGGCAACACAAGTTGGGGAGGTGCCCTCACTAAGGGTACTTTCAGACACGTGCACACACGTGTGTTCTCATGTAAATACACAGATATGTCCTCCCCCTCCTCTGTGTGGTAAACCCACTTGACATGGCGTCAATTATGTCCTCGCGCAGAATGCTCTCAATCGTCTGGATGGAGCATGCGTTGATATCGGAAAGGATGGCAATGTGATTCCTGATGTCTTTCTCGATTATGTTTTTGAACATTTCGGTGAACATGCACGCGTAGATGTCCCCTGTTGGGTGTGAGCAGAAGTGAGTGCAGAAGTGAAGATGTTAATGCAGTGGTGGACATCGATAGCGCATCAGCTCAGTCGCGAAGTGGGTGTGCGCAACTCATCACGTATTGCGCGCGTACTCTTATGACACGCAATTTCCTCCCGACGGAGGGTCCTGTTCCTCTTCCCATCCCGATTCCTCTGCTTCCCCATCGGCCTTTCCAGTTTGTCGAAATCGAGGTAGTGTCTTTTAAAGAAGCCTTCAAATTGGAGTGCACAGAAGAATAAAGG